CGGTTGTACACGCTCCTTCTCGAACCCAATTTAAAGCACTATTAGACATTTATTTATGCAAATCCTCGCGCTGGCGAGCATACTGCCCCGCGCTGAGAACATAAAGAGCAGTGCTACACCCTTTTTTCACTTGTGCCTTTCAGGTGAACGACAGCTACTGACCGACAAGAACAAAACCGACCCGGGAAACTTGGGCAAAAGCCTCGATCCTGTGTATCAATCCGTGAAATGAATCAATCCGTGAACCATTAAATATATGAATTCCGCGGTCAAGTTAACAAAACTGACTATCTGGGTACGTTTGTGAGCTTCCAGAGACCGCCAAATCAATCCGTGAAATCCGTGAATCCGTGAACCATTAAATATATGAATTCCGCGGTCAAGTTAACAAAACTGACTATCTGGGTACGTTTGTGAGCTTCCAGCTAAAGACCGCCAAATGCCTAATCAATATATAAAAGTCTCTCCAGACTACGTTAGGGAAAGTTTGAGTGTGCGTCTAATCATCAGCTCCGTAAAGGAGCAAAGGGTCCGAGAAATAAACTCTGGAAGACGATTGGCTGATGTTCTGACCAATGAGGATGTACCCTGTTAGGGTCGCATACGGCTGATACTCGTTCATGAACTGGCGAATTTATGTATATAGCGGAGGCTTTTGCGCAAGCTTCCTGGATCAAGTTTGCCCTAGTTCTCCAGCAGCTTCCATCCTCCTGTAGGACGCGAGCATAAAAGGGTCTAGCACTGCTTCTTAAGTTCTCAGTGCGTGTTGGCGCAATGGCCCTCATTGTGATAAGCATCCCCAGTTGATGTAAGCCGGGCCCTGAATACGGCGTGCATGACTGTCGAAGTGATGTTATTCCTCACACCGAACGCCCGCGATGTGAAAAACTTGCCCAATGAAATCACGCACTCCAGCTTAAAATATTTCTGAGAAAATATGTTCTCAGTATGTGAATTAGTGGGGTCGACGCTAAAATCCACTCGGCCAGACCCTGTTCAGACAAGATGCAAACATCGGGTTACATTGGAGTCGGTAACAGTATAGGGGAAAGAGCTTAATCGTTCTCAAACGCGTTGCATAATCAATAGTTACCAAACCAGCAACCGTTTTTGCTGCCGTTCGTTAAACAAGTCCAATAAAGGTTACATCCTTTCGTTCTGACTGGGCAACTTGATTGGCGTACTGAAGAAGCGGCCCGACATGGGTCACACGGAGTATCCGGAAGTCAATTCGAGTAATACTGGAGAGGGTTCATCGTGGCATTCAAAGAACTTTGAATGTTTTCGAGACCGTATTTTGTAGCGGATTGAGGAATTCCCCGAAGAGAACCACGTACCCTAGATACCCTTTCTGGTATCTAGCTTCATAATATCTGGTCGGCCCTCACCAAGCACAAGAATGATATATTGGCGCACTTTTTATCATTCAGAATGAGGTGCCAATCCAGTGACCACTGCTTTGCCGCGTCGACATCTGTTCGGAGGGTGCTCCCGTTGGAACTCCAAGATTTAAGGCCGTCCTTCAAAATAGGGCTTGGAATTGAAACCGCATCGAGAGGATCGTTGACTTGGATAGTTGGTGGTCCTAGGACGAAACCTTGGAGAACTGCAGTGGAGACCGACCATCAGTCATCAGAGACAGCAACATCAGTGTGGACACATGCTTCACTGATGTAAAACCACAAAGTCTATCAAAGTATATTTTAAGCCTTTGAATAAAAACAAGCGAAAATAGTGGGCGATGGAGAGGACCTGATGATAACCCATGAGCAGCATTCTCGAAGCTCTCACATAAATAATCCTAAAAGAAACCGGCAACACCTGTGTTTTTGGCGGCGATCAGTTCCCATTTCTTGCGATGTCTCCGGCTGAGCACATCAGCGGTCATGGGTAACCCATCCTGAGAGGCGTACTGCGCCAATAACACCCCAATTGTTTGTAGTCACTTTAACACCCTTTTGTTCTTTGTATTCTGAGACTTCCGGATGCGTGAGATTATACGGATAGCTCTCCAAAAGCTCCCGGATACAAAGAAATATCCTTCAGGGATGCCCACTCTCTCCATCCATATTTAATTTCGTGATCGATAAGGTAGTGAGACGAACAGTAGAAGGTCTTCACAGCCCGAATATCCAAATAGCCTCTAATAAAACCTTGTCTGTCTGAAATGTGCAGACGGTATCGTTCTCAAAGAGAAGAAGAAGACGAGAGAGACGAAGATGAAGTTGGAGGTGTTTTTGGATGAGCTGACTTTTGGCTTGCGCTCTGCACCCACAAAGTCTAAGGTCATGCTCGTGGAGATGTAGTCACTGAACAGGCCACTTACAGTCCTTCGAGAGGCACCGGCAGTTGTGGAGAGTTTTACTTATCTTGGAATTCGTATTACTTCTGACCGTAATGTAATAGATGAGGCCAATGCGCGAGTCTGCAAGGCTCTGGTTGCGTTTGCTAACTTGAGATGTATATGGCGTGAAAGCGGTATATCCACGAATCTCAAGAGACGTATTTATCAGGATACAGTGCGGGCTGTTTTGTTGTATGGCTGTGAGACTTAGCCTGTTCGAGCTGTGAGACAGACGTCCTCAGGTGTTCGACAGTTGTTGTATCAGGACCATAGGTCGTGGGGGTTGGTGTCGCCGAATCCTCAAAGAGGCAACTAGAAAGTGAGTTTTCGGCTGTGCGGTGGGGACTTCCATCCAAGAATATGTCCAGCACCGGAAGCTACCTTAGGTAGGTCATGTATTGCGTATCCCGAACCACCGTCTGCGAAGAGGGTGCTTTTTCCATGCTCAGTTCAAAGTGGCGGGAGCAGATGGGTGGTAGAGGGGTATGAAACGTTTGGGTGCTGTCGATGCTACTCGCCTACCTGATTGAGGACCGCGTGGTCCCTAATGCGCCTGGTTGGCGTCGCTGCAAGTTATGGCTGCTAGTCGACGTCATTGGCGTTCTTGTTTCAGTTTCTATCTGGATGACCTGAACGAACTTCTCAGGTGTGCTAAGCCAGCACTAAGCCTTTTCTCCATCCACCTTTATTCTCTTCATAATTAGACTTTCAAATATATCATTTGCACGGTAGCGGAGCATCAGTGCTAAACACTGATGTCTGTGCATCGTCAGGTGTGCTAAGCCAGCACTAAGCCTTTTCTCCATCCACCTTTATTCTCTTCATAATTAGACTTTCAAATATATCATTTGCACGGTAGCGGAGCATCAGTGCTAAACACTGATGTCGAGCTGTGCATCGTGGTGATAATGGTGATATTGATGGTGATCATGAGTCGTAACGAGACTCATGACGTGGCAGGAGTTGGGTTGCGGGTTTTTACATTCTCGTAGGTACCAGTTCAGTGTGTTGTAAGGGCACCCATTTTGCGCGGCATACTGTATTTCGTTAGATCAAGATATATTCTGATGCGGCTGTCAGTCAACTTCTTGGTTCGTCAATATCCACAAGTGTAACCCAATTGGTTTTCTTTCAGTTCAGCGGAACTTTCGTTGTTCGGGCGATTGACCGAATATTGCAGCGAAAATGCTTATTTCTGCAGCGTTCATAGCGTTATTGTTACCGTCGATTTCTGGTGTGGAGTTCACCATAGGTGCACTTGTAAGTGATGCTAATATCCTTGCCAACTTTGAACGACTCGTGAACTCTGTCAGCGATGAGATCAACGATAACTTGGTTCGATTCAACGCTAAGGGAGGGGTAAGTTGTGTTCGCCCCTTAACATAACACCGGTCCAGTTGCTGTCCCTCAATGCTTTGAAAGCTACGGAACAGGTGTGTTCTTTGTTCAATGTGACAAAGGGGAGGATGTTAGCTCTGATCGTATCGCATCCCTCCGGTGCTGTCGGAGCTCCTCCACTTTCGGTCTCCTTTACAACCTCGTTCTACTACCTGCCAACGATCGGAATCAGCGCACGTCAAGCGGCCTTCAGCGATAAATACAGTCACGTTAGCTTTTTACGGACGGTACCACCATACAGCAGAGAAGCGGCTATTTGGGCAGATTTAATTGTCGCTTTCGGATGGCGGGAAGTGTGCGTTATTCACTCCAATGACCAAGACGCTAAGGCCCTACTTTCAGGATTGGAGCGTCTTTCGATCTTGGACCCTGCGGGTAACAAATATTTCAAAGTAAGTTTCAACTAAAAAATCATTCTGTCCAACACTGGTTTTGGGAATATGAAGGCTGATAGTGTGATAATTTATATGAGAACAGCAGCGCCAACTCACATGAAAGCGAATAGCTCATACCTAGACAAAGAATCCGCCGAAAAATTCCATTGAAAGGTGCTCGTCCACTGAAGTATGGAGAATCAAACTAGAGTGGACTACATTGGACTCCCAGGGAGACGAACACGAATAAGAAAGTATTTGGTGTATATTTCGGTGGCATCAAATAGTGAATAAAGAACACCATTTTTGAATCTCCGGAGAAGTGGTTTATCTTGGAGGACTGCCGCTTCATAACCTAATCCTTTCGGAGTTAGGTAATCAAACAGCAAATTCCGAAAACCAGGTGATAAAATTGGGGCTGGAACACGTATGAACGTCACCGCTTGTTTCGGCTCAGTGACCACTAGAAATGTGGTTAAAGTGCTTTTTTTTACAATACAACAGTAGCGTACGTCAACCGGACACGTAGGCAAAAGATGGTATACATAACCTTCGTTTCACATCCCCCGTGCACTTTACGCCGCTGTATTTACCTTCCGTATTCAACATGAAAAATGCAAACAAGTATACCAAGAAGTCGCGCTTGCTGCGTCCAAAATAGGGATACAAGTTACAGGTGCACCACTCCAACCGTTGCCCTGCATTTATTACAGGCAGATTGTCCAACTCACCCATCGCCTGGGAGTCTTCTTCATCTGGATGGGCAGAGGACACATTCATATCAATGAGGCGTTCGCCTTATTTAGTTTTGTACGGTCTTGTATCCATCTTGGTCTAGTAACTCTTTGCTGCACAAGTTGAATGAACACAGCTTTGTTTTTACGTACTTATCACTTGATCATTTTGGCCCCTCTCAACACCCACACATGGAAGTACATTCATAACAGAAGGCACATTGTTAACTCACACATTTAGCCGTTTCGATCGGAAGGGCAGAAAACTGGACGGAAAAGTTGGTAAAACAGAGCGGTATCCTCTGTTATCACCTCGATTAACGCCGAAATGGCCACATCACTACTTTTGACCAAAGTTGACTTCTGAACGAACGTATCCACAATACCATTGCATACATCCATAGGAAATGTCACGGCATTTCCCTTAGTTGGCTTTTATAGCATAGATAGGGACATTGTATCCCTGTACTCCACTGGCTAAACTACCCAGAAAACAAATCCCCGGAAGATCAATACGCTCATTACTACACCTTTGGGCGTGATACCGAAGTACAATAGTTCATATTCAAACATGAAAATGAGGTAACGAGATCACCGCGAACATATCATAGACAACTTTTCCCAAGAAAACCTGCTTGTCTGCTGCTTGTCTCGGGAACCTTTGTGGTCATGGTTTTTCAGTTGTTTTTTGGTTGAATACATGAAGAATTGGCTTGCTGTTTACTAAGTAAGATTTTTAGTAGTGTTTTCTGCTCACCTGGGTGATCTGTAACATGGGTATCCTGCTCGATTGTTAAATATAGCGTGCTTATCTTCAGTGGAGATGATCTCTTTCTTACTTTCCCCGGGTTGAATATTCATATTTTCTATGGTTAGGTTTGTGCTGTTGACATGAGTACTGCCACAACTGCAGTTCAACCGATAGACAATATGGAAAGCACAAACATTGGCTGAATTGTGTTGCCGTAAATTTCCCGTTAGTCACAGTTAGCAATTTCTGTTATAAACACGTGGCTCAATGATCCTGTTTGGAAGGCAAACCCAGAGAGGGCGTTATTCTTACTGCATCCGGACAGGTAGGAGGCGGCTTTTTCTCGCTGTCCATGTGGATTAACTTTTCCGAGTATCCCTAACTGGCGAGATTTGTTTCTGTTGTTCCCGACAGCATTCCTAGCAGTGCATGTACCTGGCTCAGTCAAAAAGGACATGCACTAGACCTCTTAGAGCCCTTTGGCGTGAAACTAAAAAGTGAGTATTGCTCAGTCTAGGCGGGTTCGTGCTAGCCTAGTCCATTGGAGGTGACATCTGGAGGCTTGGTAATCAAAACGTCTAAGAAGGTTTAGGTCATCTTTTATTTCTACATCAAAAGTCATGGGAAGTTTCGGATGGAGGTTGGCCGTTGCGCTGTAAAATGATTCCAAGTGAGAGTCCTGGAATTGGGAATTTAGACTACTGGAATGAGATTGTAAACCGCATAATGGTTTTGTAGTTTGGATGGCGCTAATTACCCACACCATGCTTTGGTATATTGCCACCACGAAATTTGTGAAATCGTACACGAAAGGTATACTAACGCATCTCATTTCCTCTGTGTAAGCCTGAGATAAGGTAACCGATGAATAAAACTGGAGTGCTACCAGAGTCATCCCAGGTCCCTTTTTGGCTCAGAGGCAGTCTCAAGTGGGTTATTCGGTGTTCTCTCAGGGAAGTTTATTCTGCATGACCATTCGCTTTGCTCTATGACCTGGAAACGTTTTTGGAATTCATCTCTATGTCCTGTGTTAACTGGATGCCTGATGATCGATTATTTGACACGGGATCCAGTCAGAGTCAGCTGAAGATGTACGGAATATGTTAGATGCGTACTATTTTGTTCGCACCCCGAGGTTCCCGCTAATTCTGGCGATGCGTCTGTACCCACAACTGCGGTTGAATTGACAAATGCACCTATTAAGGTGAACGTGACATGGGCATGGCGTCATTGACATATCCGGTGCTTATGGCTTCGCATGTCTTCACCCGAAAAATCCCTTTCTAAACGTTCGAATTGTATCCTGTCTTATTGCATAAGACTTTCTTTCCACGCCTTTGTGTCCCCATGCTGGCATTATCGATTGAACATCATCACACTTTCAGATTATGCGTCAGGTTGCTATAAACACAGATGAAGAGGACGCAGCTCGAGTCAGGGATTTCGTGAGCCTACTCCGTCCGATCCGCAATGAGCAGACACGAGCAATTCTTCTATTCCTTCGGCGTTCGTTTGCTGAATATATTTTTGCTGCGGCCCGCAAACTCGGTATGCTCGATGCGGAGTGGGCGTGGATAGTGACGGAACAAGCACTGTACGCATCCAACATACCACAAGGTAGGAGTCATGGTTACTTTTGTTATCTGTTTTTCTATTTATTAGCTAGGTTCATGATCGGAAGCACAAATATTTCGTGTTCTGTTCCTTTCGTTTCTCAGATATTGTTCGTAACAACAGTCAATAACAGCAACGCCCTAATAGAATACAACCATGAGGAAAAATTATCTCAAGAAGTGAAAATATCACCCATACAGGGCCCATTTAAGAACGTTGTCAAGACCTTTGAACAAAGTGCTCAAGAGCACCATACCCTAGACGTGATGAGTAACTTTGCAGCATGCACGTAGACAGTTTTTGAACGGGGATACTTCCTCTGAGATCCTCTTGAGTACTGCAAGCCTAATTAACTCAAGTCCTATCAAGAAGTTTTCGTCGATGTGATAGGACAGTGTATCCGTGGTGTTTTTTCCACACCAATGGTGTGATTGCGCAATGGACTAGGATACCTATGTTAATTAATTGAATGGACATTAATTGAAAAGACATTCCATGTACTCGGAATTGTCTCATTGATGAAGGTCGTCCATCTTGTGCGTTTCAGTCATTCGGTTTAGTCTAATTCAAGTTAATTCACATTAATTCTGTAGTTTTGCCTTCCCTGTCAGGTGCGGTTTCGAACGGGCTGTCTAAAATAGGTAAATTCACTGGACCCGAGTCAACCTAACCGATTCTCTCTGCTTTAAACTTCGGCGAGCACCGTACGGTCGGATAATAAAACTATTTGTCGCCATTGAATTTTTGTGGTTGCTCACGTAGCCTAACAGTAAGTTTCTTTGCTTAATGCTAGGATCAGCTTCACCTAAAAAGCCCATATAACTAAGGAAGTAGTATCCGGATGTACATTACTCGTGGTAAGTGCACAAATATCAGTTATTATTGCTATACACATTAAGGTAGCTTGCGCCTCCCAACAGTTTTTCGGTGGATCGTGTATTCCAGCTTGTGCTTTGCAGCCGAGCCCTCCCCCGTTGTCACCTCATTTTAAACGGACAGAGCTGGGGGTTGTATCTCTTCATGAATTACATACACAACTCCACTGCCTGTAAGTATGCAATGGTCTATGTGAACGGCTTGTCAAGTGGTTACTAGCGGTTTCAGTGTTGAATCAGCAATCACAAAATTTGGTTGAACAGTAGGTCTCTACTGATTTGAAGCTTGTAACAAATGGATCGAATGGCTCGCAAAATCAATATTATCATGTATTGAGTGCTGATTTTCAGTAAAACGTCATCTTTTTGTCTGATTGATGGTTTTACTCTTGTTGGATTTTTATTAGTTTCATTGTATGTCAGTTTATAACTAAGGGAAATAGAAAATTTGCAACAAAGTACCTTTGTACGTTTCACTTCAAGGGGTTATTGGCGTCCGACTGCTTCAGAGCAGTGAACTGGATCACCTAGCCGATGCTGTTCGTGTGGCTACCCAAGGCATTCTCTCTTTGGCACGAGCCAATCCACATGTGATGCCTGTACTCCAGGCAGTGAGCGCATGTCGGGAGGACCCGCTTGAAATACAGTCGCATCCTACCCAATCTGGACAAACATATGGTTGGAACGAATATGCCAGAAAGCTATATAAGTGAGTTGAAATTGTTTTTTTTTTTCGAAAACGTTCAATAGCGTGTTGAGGCGTAGTAGTAAGTAATTTCCATGACATTGGTCTCACATTTCAGCCACATGCTTCAAGTTAATTTTTCTGATGGACGCACCGGCCGAATCGAGTTCGATCAACACGGTGATCGTGTCAGACCGGTTTATGAAATTGTGAACGCTCAGTTCCCAAGAGGACAAATTTCAGACACGGGGACAGTAACGCAAACGTCAGGCTTGAGTGGTTCAGCATTTGGATTCCAACGGCCTGAGCTGGTACCGATCGGACACTATGGGAATCCACAGGTAAGTTGAATTTTTCGAGTTGGTAGATTGAACGTGAACGATGGAGAGCCACTTGGTAGTTGGGATATTTCTTTAGATTCCCATAAACTTACACTAAATGTTCGTCAGTCTTGTTACAGTTGCTAATGCGCGTAACCAAAATGAAACCAAGGAAAATCTTTTTTTTTACGTGGAATCGAAGGCCTTACTGACCCAAATCTGTTTTGATTACGGTATTGGTCATTGTGAATCCTGTTTAATTAATTCGCACGTGGTATGTAGCGGTATGTATACATTAAAGAAAGTGCACAAGGCTTTACAGTTACATCAGTTTTCGGTACTCAAGCCCGATGCCAATCCGTAGATTGCGGTGCTTAGTTGCGTCCTTTAGATACCAGCAGGTTGCTTTGCAAAAAGCAGTCTAGAACCTGTTAGCCTAGCTTGGAAGGTCGTTATTTGTAATTCAAGCTCCGCTGTCAGTTGTAAACTTGGACGACCAACCCAAGAGGGATGAATGAGTTGGACTCATTGCCATCGGCGACCCAGCCATGAGGGTATTGGTGTTATGTAATCCGACTTACTGTCTTCAGTGTATGACTGCATCTCAAACCAGCATGGCACCACCACCCAGTTATATTCTGCTGATACCAGCTCTCACCTGTTTTGTTTATCTCTGTGCAGCCAATCCGTTCCGCACTAGCGAACTAAAATCTGGCAAACTGAACTACTGTACACGCTATATGTGATGTTTTGCCAAAGGCGATAAAGTTGTTACCAGGTTTCGAACTCTACTTGTGGAATTTTGAAGAAGAGTGGCACATCTTTAGTGCATTCTAGGCACGTCAGTACCAGTATTTGAAATCTGTTTTAGTGTTCCTCATTTGCAAACTAATTTGGTTTTTCGAGAGACTCACCTGGAACCCAGCCGAAGCTCTCAGTTTTGATGTTTCCAGGCAACTGAATGTGCTACACTGTGTCGCGATATCTCGAATATCGTAGCGACTGAAACATGAGGCGGTCTGGTGCAACACATCCAGTGGCATGGAAACATCAAAACCGAGGGCTTCAGCTGGGTTCCAGGTGAGTCTCTAGAAAAAACAAATTAGTTTGGAAATGCGTGTGTATTCGCTAACTTCGTGCAATTTGGTTTCAAGTAGAACATAAGGTTGATGGAAACCCGGGGACTGCGCCTACCTGATGAGCCCCAAAAACGGCAAAACCGGTCGTGGGCTGTCGGGAAGTTTTCAGCAACCTTATGAGTAGTGCATTACAAAAATGTGAGCAGTAATGGACAACCTCTCGCAGGCTGAATGAAACCACAGTCACAAACGAATATCCAAAATAGGTTCATAATACACATACTTAGATGCGTTGGACGCGGTCTGTGAATGGCTTCACGGTGATTGCCAAACCGTGCTTTGGTTGTGGTCGCTGGGTCTGATCTGAAGAAAAGAAAATGTGAAAATCCAAGGATGTCAGGACTGAAGGGTGTCACTACAACATCAGTCTCCAGCGAGCCGGTCGTTCCCTTAGAATAGGCTCCCCTCGAGAGTGAATTTGGTTGGCTAGAAACATTGAAATAATTTGCAGGGGATTAGAAGCAGTGGTGCGAGTGCTTTTTGTTCCGTTGCCGCTATCCAGAAAATTTGAAAAAAAAAGACTTTTGGCTCATTTGCCCTGTGTATGTGCTCTCGTTATGTCGCGCCATGGTCTGCCTCAGCACCAAGCCTGTTCTCGGGTTGGTGTATCGCAAGATAGTCGGTTTGTTCGCTGGGCTAGGTAATTTGTTTCCAAGCCCCTCATCATCAATCGGCGTAAAGTCATCATTGCCTCTTCGGGTTAGTGGTGTATGGTGCTGGAATTTACATTCTGCTCCTCATCATCAATCGGCTTGAAGTCATCATTGTCTCTTCGGGAAATGGAGCGTAGCTGTGCGTTAGTGGTGTATGGTGCTGCAAGTTTACATTCTACTGGTCGACACTAAACCCTTAATAAGGTTTGGTCGCTTGATTGGGTGGCTCTGCCGAGTGGCCTGTTGACTGGCGTTCCGATTGGTTGATGTCAACATGAGCCTGGAGCTTGCTTCTTGATTCTTTGCATTGGTCGTTTCTGCGGTAAGATCTGACCCTGACCACTGTGGATTCCACGCTGTGTGCTTCGCTGATTTGCTTTCAAATGGGTTCCTGTCTCTCCATTTGAGTATCCCGGTTGCGTTGCCGGTCCACTGCATATATTGGCACGTAGATTGAGTACCGTTCCCTTCCTTGTTTCGTGTTTCTGTGTGCGAAGATTTACACGTTTTCCAAATCGAACGTGTCGCCTTCTTGAACTTCATATATGGTTGCCATTATAGTTCGGTATTCGGCCCATATGTGTCTTCTTTCGATATACACATGTTTCGAGGGCTCCATTCACATTACTCAATAAAACGTCCGGGAATAGCAGCCGATTGTTGCTTTCCAGTACACTTGATGCATTTGAATGTATTATTGGGCAACTCGTACGCATCTAGTACAGAACTTTTTCCTGATAACGAAGGTGTCGCTTCATAGCGAATCCATAGAATTGATTATTAGCAGTACACTGCTTCCCCATTTGTACATTACTATTCCAATGATAAATCCTTATTTTGGAGATCCCGTTTGAGTACCTTCCACTTATTGACATTTCTATCCGTCAAAGTTGGACCATGAAGAAGCCCGGCAACTCGCATGAACTTTCGTGCTTAATTGGTGTGTTTGGGTTGCTCTGGAGCGGAAAATGTAGCAAGTCTATCGCATGTCGAGATCCGGCTTAAACGTCTAGTCTGCCTATGTGCAGATCCTGTTTTTGGTCAGGTGGAGTTCCGTTGATTAAGATGCCGTAGTTTGCCGAGCATGAACACTAAAGTACCTCGTTTTTTTCGATTAGATCCTACTTCTTCCCGGGGCTATGATGAAGTCATTCTGAAAAATGGGATGTAAGCCGTTTAGACTTTGTTGCAAAAACATATAAGTGGCTCACTAATGTGTAACAATTAGATGGCAACGTTAAAATTATTTTCCCCTTAATTATCTGTAAGTCAACGAGTTTATCACCAATCATGTGTTTTGCCATTCTCCCTATATTTATGGAGTGAAGCAAGCTCTCATCTACATCACATCACTCTGAGATGGAGAACTTGGATTCACAAAGGAAAAAAACGCTGCACTACTTAGAGATTACCGTATCGGTCTACAGTTCATTCATCAGTGTCTACGATGAGCACCCTGAATGTGCGGTACTAGTTGCAGGGATCGTTAATTCCCATAGTTGTGTCATCTTTCACTTTTTGCTTGAATGAAGACTTGTCTGTTTGTATGCAAGTGATGGCTGTTAGTGTCACTCGACGGGTGCTGCAAAGGTGAAAAAACCAACGGCCATTTGAGCTATCGGTATTTTCCTGCGTAATCACGTAGTTCAACCCGAATTGAAGCCGTTCACGGACGAGCTACTGCTGCGGAGTGGGTGTTCCTAAAGAGTTTATGGAATCCTTCTTATTGTTCCAAACTAACTGTACGCTCTCCTATGAAATCCTATCACAAGAAGGGGGACGAGATAATTAGAGCGCGAATTTACTGATCGGAAGTTCCGTGGTTCAAACCCGACCTCTGCCTCTCGGCTTAGACAACCTAACAGTTTCCCAGCCCTCTTGCTTCTTACGGGTGGCATGGCAATTGGGTATCGAAAGGGTGCTACTTCTGAACGATTTTATCACAAGAGGGACTGGAGGTTGTTTGCCAGTTCGGGAGAGGAAGCTTCAGAACTTTGTTTCGTGTACACTCCCGCTGGGCTCCTTTGGAGTTCGCTTTGAGAGATGACATTGCGTAATTTTCTACCATAGCTTCTACCTTACATCCCAATATTCGAATGAGCAGCTATGATCGGCGCTTTCCAAATCGTCACGTTGAGAGCCACTGTTTATGCATCTCTCGAATCGTCACTTTGGTGCTTTCTACGAACAAATACGTGTTCAAGGTTTCAGGTCGATTATTTTGGTTTATCTCTGTTTACACGTTCTAAAAAAGCTTGCAAACTTCCATGCATCACCTGGCCAGTCTAACAGAGACGTGACACGTGAGGGATGAATTCTGTTCAGTAGGCTCACAACCCACAACTATTCTCCCGGAATTAGGATTACAGAGCAGAAATTGTCCAGAAATTGTGTTGGGTTCGTATGCTGAATGTGATGTGCTACTGCATCCGGACGAAATGCATTATCTGGACATTCCGAGTTCGCATCATATTTAATCAATTTCAGACTGCATGCCTTAGCTTCGATGGGTCAGGAACCTCAACAGGGAACTGGTTCAGGCTTGACATATCTATGTCCCCAACCTTTACGAATTTTTTCGTCGACAGTTGAAGGCAATTGTCTTGTGTAGTTGACCAAAATATGTTTTATGGGGGCTATGTTGAAACAAAGTGTATTCGGTCAGAGTTCAGTCAGCAAATGACCCCCATCTACTTCGACTGCTTGTGCGTATATTCTGACCTGTCAGAACAACTGCAGCGTCAGCACACCACAATCCATGGGTTGACCGCCGTGTTTGCAAGCAGAGCTGCTTTTCATCATGCGTGAACCGTTGCATAAGGAGTGTGAAAATATCTTGAATCAGAAAAGTAGTCCATCAAATATTCTTTTTTTTGTTTCAGCCCATTCCACTATTGTGGTACTCATCAATACCCTATCCGAAACTGCTCTCCATCAATATGTCTGCTATTGTGTGGCCTGGCAACCTCATAGATCAGCGAGCACAGTTGGTTTGCGTTCAGCGAAATGAAGATGGTACCTGCCGCCAGACGGACAAGCAAGTTATTGCCTCCGCCCCACTCAGTTTCAAAAAGAAAACACATTTGCGGGTAAGGTAATGAGCATCTTAAGTCATATTTCAATGTCTGCAAGACGCTGTCAATAATTCCGTCTTACCTTTGGATCAGAGACGACATTCAGTAAAGCTTAACATACAGTGTTTGGTGAACCAAGCCTTAGTATATTTGTACACCGCTGGAGACAAAGTTACAGTGCTGGGGTAATCTGTAGGGTGATTTTTGGCTTTTGGTGTGGTTTTTATTCTTTCCGAATAGTAACTGGTTACTTTGTTTTTAACTCTGGGGACACCATCGAACAACCACGTAGGAAAAATTTGACCGTTTATTCTGGTAGTCACAAAACGTTGCTTCCTGCATACTGTGTAACAATATGGGAGCTTGCTAAATGTATAGTTAAATTAATCAATTTCCTGCAGTCTTTTAACTAATATGCACCCGTCACGTTTCAAATATATTGTCAAGAACCTGTTTCCCGAATCAAAACATCATGACGATAGAAAGGCCAAGGAATTTCGTCAGCTTATCAGCCGATCGTTCAAACGAACAAACTGGTAGGTCGTTCGCACTGTCACTGCTTTATTTTTTTTTATAGTGAATTCTACACATTCGCCTACATCACAGATGTTTCACTCTCCTGAAGGAAAGTGCAGTGTTTTCAGCTCTATCGTTGTTTTGGTCAAAGCACAGGAGTAGTGGAGAAGTCAAGGGCAAATTTGATTTGCGAGCGTCTACATCGCAGCGCTGTGGCTAACTCATTTGCCTCGGTCACCAAGTATTTTCTGTGTTATCATCGGGAAGTGCTGGATTTTGAATTTACGCCTGCAGTGCGCTCTATCTAGGTATGCCTTTAAGAACTGTCTGGCGATATCCATAGATATGCCCTCCTATCGAGGATAATTCATCACCTACATTTCATTTCAGTTCATTTCAGTTTTGCCAGTTATAAATCATGTGCCAAAGTTACGTTGTTTCCAGCTTCTACAGGGGTAAGTCGCTTGGGACTAAGAACTGTCTGGCGATATCCATAGATATGCCCTCCTATCGAGGATAATTCATCACCTACATTTCATTTCAGTTCATTTCAGTTTTGCCAGTTATAAATCATGTGCCAAAGTTACGTTGTTTCCAGCTTCTACAGGGGTAAGTGGGAGCGCTTGGGACATATAACCAAGCGTTGTTGGTGACGGCGTGATCAGCGCATTGTTTGTTGCTCTGAAAAAGCGGAAAGCTGGGCAGCCATGAATTGAAGATGACCGACACTGCGTGACTGAACCATGTCTGTCTGTGTCACCAACTGCGGATAAACTGGGTCCCGGAGTCAAAATCTACGGAATAGAGACCCGTCAGTTCGACTGAGTTTGTTGGTTGGTATTTTTATGTTTTGCCTTCAGGTCATAGGCTGTGCACCAGTCGGTTGCTTGCACTCAGCGTAGAGCTGGGAAAATTGAGCTCTGCGAGGCAGATGGTCCTGTAGCGTGTGACACACACATGTCCTAACCATCAATACTAATGAGGCGTAATTAGCTCATCCATCACGAGAGAGTTCCTTGTTCCATCTTATATACCTCAGCATTACCAACGCGATGGTACCATGAGACCCGTCGAGTGCTTCGGAGACACTGACAGACAGTCGCTGGCGGCTTTCGTACGTCTGCGCGTTGAGGCTGAGTTTCTGACTCATAAAGCAGTGAGCCGTACTGGCGCATTGTGTGCTCTGCCCTTGACAGAAGAATTGATTTCACGTCAGCGCCATAAATGTCGGAGGTTAGCAAAAGCTTTCCTGATCTTTCCGGTTCTACAAGTAATCTGGTCTCCGGCCGGTCCACAGAAGCTTATTCAACTGGCTAGCCTGCAAGCATGAGGTACGGGTGTTATCTCACCTAACCTTGTGGCAGCACCTTCACTTTGCAGATTTGAAGCACACATCAAACCGGGCGGGAGAGTTACTAAGTTTACAATTCTTCAGGTAATTTCATTAGTGACGCATCACATGAGAAACCTGAATGGGGATGGACGGTAACTGATTGTAGTGTAGATCAAAGTTACCTACTCTTTTAGGGTTGATTTGGCCACCCTTGCCAACCGTTAAGCGATGTGAACGGATCTAACGTCTATGGAAACAAGCACCAATGCCTATTAGTTTATGGGGCAACTCAGTGTAATTCGAAAATTTCACCCTTTGCTTACATTTTTGATGAGCTGGTCTGCCCAACGGAAACTCGCAAGATGTACATAACTTTTTCTATCAAATCTCATCTGGCGTTCGTAGGTCGTTACCGCGCTAAGCAAGCCGTTTGTGAATCGACGTCCTAAGTTATCGGGCGAGAGGTGCAATGAATCGGATGACCCTACCCAACCGAGAATGGAAGTTGAATGTACTCATACGGATCCTGACACAGGTTAGTTTTGTGAGATCCACAATCATTTTTATGGTTAGCAGTTCTATCGCACACATCAGGTCCTCGAAGAGTGAGGATAGGCTACCTAGTCTTTCTTTCCAACTATATCTAATCCGTTTTGTTTCATTTTGCTCATCTATTTTTCATTTGCTCATTTATCACATCTGTGAACATCTTGATGCTTAACACTTTTCCGTGGACCTTCAACTTTCGGTTTGAGTTAGTTTAATGGTACCATTATCCAGCTATCCCACAAAAGAACCGTTTTCACGACACGCTGCACTGCTTACTCGTCAACCTTTTCTACTGCGACCGCATGTCTGGTACATTAGCTCACCCTCTTTCCTGGTGTGTAGTTGGGGTTAATGAACCACCGCCTGCTGATATCTTATGTCCTCAACTGTTGTCTGTATGGGGCGAGATGACCCAAGTGGTTAGAGCCCGAATTTACTGACCGGAAGGTCCGTGGTTCGAACCCGACCTCTGCCTCTCGACTTCCCCTGTCTAGGCTTGGGCAACCTGTCAGTATCCCAGCCCTCGTGCGACCCTCGGGTGGCGTAGCACTTAGGCACTGAAAGGGTGCTACAGCTGAATGTTTTTTTTTAAATTGTAGTCGGTAACGTCATCTCGGTGACCAGCAAACGTCAGTCAGTACAGCCTTCAGAACAGCCCTGGCACTCTCGGTCATCCGTTACAACATTATGCTGATGATAGTCAGTTGATCGTAACTTGGTGACTCTGTCACTTCCGTTCAGTCCTACGTCCTCCGTTATTAACCAACCACCTACAACCCGTCGCTACGCACCACCATGTTCTCTAACTACGCACTGAAGATGTCACCTCGATTGGTGATGAAACGTTTGCAATCAAATTGTCCAGCTCAGCGAACAAACCAACCAGCCTCTACGCTACCTGAGCTACCAACATTTTCCTCCATAGAAAAGTTATTAACCCAATAACTTATTAATGAATGATATTGTTGTAGGCTTAAAATCCACCTCTAGTGGCTTCATTCAGACAGTTGGTTTATTCCGAATAACTGAATCATAACCAGCCTCGTTAATCCTCGTTTATTAATTACGGTTCCTTGTAGTACATCGCCTAGTGGTTACTACAGGAGTGCCCGTGAAATTTGCGTTTCGGATGCTGAAGTAGTTCAAGAAACTTGATTTGGAGATAAATTGTGCGTCAGAAAGTTGGTTCACTTTGTAGAGAGTTTTGTTTGAATGAACCGTTGTATTGTTTGACCATTACATTCATCACGTTAGCAGTTTCTCTATCTCTTTCCAAGGCGTGACCAGTCATTATTGCTGCTCGGGATTCTGCATCGATCTTTTGCGTCATTTGGCCAACCGGACAGGATTCGAAGTCAACCCCACCCTATTCACCTACGACCTGCACTTGGTCGGAGATGGCCAGATTGGAGAGGAGGTAGTAGAGAACGACACGCGTCGATGGACGGGAATCGTAGGTGAGATCCTTTCGGGGATGGCCGATTTGGCTGTCGCTCCCATTTCCATCACTCCGGAACGAGCGACTCGTGTGGAATTTTCAAAACCATTCAAGTACTTGGGAATCACTATTCTAATCAAAAGGGTGAGATTGTTTTTTATACTGTCTGCTTTGATGACCGAAAGGGAGCCAGATTGGCTTCCTATTGATTGACGTCATCTCAATATTCTCTGTGCGGGTAATCGATTCCGTGCGAACAGTATGTGTAGGGCAGAACCCGCTTCAGTAGCTTCCTGTTCGCCGATACTTTGCTTTTTTTTACAGATCCTCTGCGTCCCAGAGGGTTATCACTGTTGAACGATTCGATCCGATTTGTAAGAGTAAATAAGTATTCATATCTTTTTTAGGAACGAGCAAAGTCCAACTTGGGTTCCTTCCTTCAACCCTTCGAAAACACACTGTGGGTCCTGGTGGCTCTCTCCGTTCATGCCGTGGCTTGGGTCCTCTATCTGTTGGATCGGTTCTCGCCTTTTGGCTTGGGTAAGATGGCGTTTTCCGACGCACAGAAGCCACCTTCCTTTCCCGAAAAACCGCCACCATACTTGAATAAGCCTTCAGAAGAAGCCGTGGATGCAGGTGAACATCAAGGTCCGCCTGACAACTCTTCGGCTACGCCGAAGGAAGGTCTTACGCTGAGTTCGGCGGTCTATTTCGCTTGGGGTGTCCTACTGAATTCCGGCATCGGAGAGGGAACACCTCGTTCATTTTGTGCTCGCGTTCTTGGCATGGTGTGGGCTGGTTTTGCTATGATCATTGTGGCCAGTTACACTGCCAACTTGGCCGCATTTCTCGTCTTGGATAGACCGGAATCCTCCATATCGGGGATTGACGATATGAGGGTAAGTCGTTGACCTTGTGACTATACACGAGAGACCATGTCATGAAATAAATCTGTTTTCAGAATCGGTGTTGTCTGTGGAATCACAAGGTCTAGGTCTCAAGAGTAAAAGTACCGCATGGTCCTATCTCTCTAATTGCCAGGCTAAACTTAACGTTAAGTCGTATTATGGTCGTTGGTTTGTTCGCTAAGCTGAGCTGAGCAGTTCCATTGCGAAGGTTTCATCGCCAATCAAGCGGACATCATCTATGCGTTTTGGAGGAGCGCCATGGAGCGTGGCGGTGGGTCGGTGGCTATGTATATTATTGATATCGTGAGCATTATTATTTATTATTACTACGGTTTTCTTATCTATCGTTTATTTCGAAGACCATGGTCATAAACAAAAAAAGCAAAGGCGAACGATGGATGTAAGCGGGTGACAGGAAAATATTAGATGAAAAGAGTGAACGTCCCGTTCGAAGTCATACCACTAACAGTTTTAGTCAGAGAAGATGGATCCCAACGTGTGTTTGAATGTTCGGTATGGAAACACGCGTGTAAAGACCAACAACCGAAGAGAGGATAAACAGTGCTGAATGCTCTTCAAGGCGCCGTAAGTTCTAGCTCGGTCAAGGGTCGCACATCAGGCACAAAGTGTTCGTTATACTGGGTCCGGTGTGAGAGTCAGTGGCAAGAATGTACACTCAACGCATAAAAGCGTCGTAAGTATACAGAGATTTCACAATGGTAAGCAAACAAGTCACTGACTGTGACCTTAGGAAGTCCCAGTCCAATAAAACAGCTTCGGCGGATTGAGAAAACGGACGTTACAATCTCTTGCGAGTTGGGCTCAGATGATGGCGAGGGAACCATCATTAGCACCATACTTCTGCTTCCTTTCATTCCACACATTCACTCCGCGCCTATCAGAGACTATGCTTATATCCATCACAGTTGCTAGGCTCTACCGAACAGCCAGTAGTTCAGGCGTCGACCTCGCAGCTCCTCGAAGAAGCTGTATTCCAAACGACGGAAACGTCTTGCGGGTTCCATTGAAAGCCGATTATGACTGGCGCATCTAACGTCATCCGGTTGGCCACAGTTTCTACAACGAAAGATCTGGGCACCATGATCACACCGGGTGTCTCTAGCTGTCATCCTAAGCAGGTTATACTGGAGATGGCTACCGCAGATAAATATCCTAGGAAAATCTCGGCCTGGGACACAAACCATCGATACGACTAAGGTGAGTCGACTAACTCTCGTAAACCGGGACCGTCAACGTTCTTGTTTAGACTATCGCCCCAAGCAGCCGCCAGCCTTTTCTGGTTTTTATGCATGCACCTTGGACTCGGATCAGAAGGCTGAGATCCCGATCAACCTTACTGAATGTCGGAACATTGATCACACTGCGTAGTTCTGGGCACTGGGTAGACAAGCTTTTCCATACGCCCTCTCCGCTGCATCAGGATGGTTGCATTCAGACTTGGAATACCAAGCCTGGATGTAGTTGATTGGGGTGCCGTTCAGTAGCCAGCCACAAATAGGTTGCCTAATTTAATTGTCCAACCTTTCGAACGTGGGTCCGTCGACTTAGCCGAGCACAGATATTTACTGTAGTAGTATTGTTGCTGCTACAAGGCATAATGATACCGATGTACCAGAAAAACCAGCCAACTCCGTAAGGTGTGGTTAAAATTGTTAGGCTGAATTCCGCAATTAATCCGAAATGCAATAACGCCGGGTTCAAGATGGCTTGAGATATCTCATTGGTCGTGGCACGAACTTGCTGGGCGTAAGGTTCCTAGTTCTAGCGCAACCTCACAGTCTCGATTGTCCCTGTCTAGGCTTGGACAATTTGGTGGTGTCTCAGTCCTTATACTACCTTCGGGTGGCATAGCAGCTAGGCACCAAAAGGTCGTTACAACTGAACGATATTTATTACCTACACAGCTGTTCAATAAATAAAAATATGGTTTGCGCGTAATGCGCACCTTTGATTTATGTTCGGAGATTTCTTATTTTGTGTAATAGTGCTCGGCAGAGTTCTTTGTCCCTACTGTTTTGACTAATTTGAAATTTTAGTAGTTTGGTTGCTCAACCACTGCCTGCAGCTGTCGATTCGATTTTCTCTGTCTAGGCTTGGACAACTTGGTGGTGTCTTAGCCCGTATACTACCTTCGGATGGCATAGCAGCTAGGCACCAAAAGGTCGTTACAACTGAACGATATTTATTACCTACACAGCTGTTCAATAAATAAAAATATGGTTTGCGCGCAATGCGCACCTTTGTTCTATGTTCGGGGATTTTTTTTCTCATTTTTTTTGTTGATATTGCTCAGCAGAGCTCTTTGTACCCACTGTTTTGACTAAGTTGAAATTTTAGTGGTTTAGTTGCTCAACCACTGCCTGCTGCTGTCGATCTATATTCAACATACAGACGGACAATTAGTCGTTCGGGTAAGGAGACTGCTGGACACTCTTGTGCTCATGCTTTTGTCCAAATGTCAACAAAAAGTTATTGCTCTGTAGGAAAGAACACAGTGGTAACAATAATGACGACATTTGCCTAGAGAATAGTATTTCACCCAACGAATGGAAGTAGTGGGCAGCACTTTACGGTATCAGGACTTGATGTTTTCTCCAAACATTCCTGTTTTATGCCACTTATAGGGGCACCGTAGTTTACTCATACTTTACCAAAATAATGTCCTTCAGCTGGCTTGTAGCCCAAACATGAATGTGGCCTGTACGCTGGTTCGCTTTATTCAGGGTCGCTTTGTAAGATTTTTACTTTGTGTATGACACATCCTGTAAGTAAGAGTGAAAATAAAACTTGTTGTGAGGGCCGGTGACAACGAAACCAATACATGGGTCTCGTCGTCACTCTCATTTGTTCTAATCTTCAAAGAATTCACTCGACTGTTAAAGGTCTTTTCAGCTTAGGACTCATGGTACGCGATCTAAACTCTCTTCTGTTGCTGAAGCACACCAGTTATATGTTTACTGTAACCTAGGGTCCTAAAGTCTTGGTTGGATTAGATTATCAACAATAACTGTCCGTCAGTCTTGGGATTCCTGATCGTAACTATCGCGTCACATCCCATTCTCTTCCATCACAAGTGGGCTGTATTTTTCTGTTATTCAAGTGTAAAATTGCTAAACTGAGATTTCGTCACTTTGATGAAGGTCGTGAGCTTCTTTCACGCTGTTTCATCATTGTTGGGAAGCATTAGCAGTACCAATCTCACCAATCTTAAAGAGGATTGGAATTCACACCTTTCGGATAGGAGTTTTATTAACTACGAGTGGCTGACCAGCGGCTTGCTGAAGTTGCATCAGTAAGGGATGTAGTGCTACTGTATCGCCAGTCGTGCGGTTCATGCAGCATGTTCCGATTTCGAATAGCTTCTCTATTGACGACTCCTCAGGTAGAATACTTCTGCAACCTGTCAGGTGCATTTTTTGGTTGTAAGACGATTTCGAAGTTCACAGCGTAAGAAAACCTCTCATCTAGTTAACTATCCGTGCTGGATCTACGAAGCTCTGTTTTTTAGACTATAAAGTGCGGTTATAAGCTGTAACCTTCTGACAATCTCTTCTAGGCTATTGAACAAATGATTACAAACTCTTTGCCAATATTGCTAGATAAATCAGCATTGACTGGCAAATGCACAGCTGGAGGAGTGCCTGTTTCTGGTTCTTGTTTCAGTACTGAGGGTCAATCATCATGACAAGGTGGTACCCTACTCCATTTGATACACGGATCAGTCACAGTGTAGGTCTTCTGTTACACGCAAAAAAACCATGGTAACTGTTCTGCTCATCGTGCTTGACTATTCCCTTTACGGATCGGTGTCACCCAGGAAGCTTACACTATTAGTGCACAGGTAGTGATAGCCACAATACAAATCAGAAGGTGAATGTGCACTGATAGAAGTTTTTAACATGATTGCGACACGTATAAAAATGAATACAATGCGAAATGGGAGCGAGTCAAAAGGGAACTTATCGTATGCGAGAATCCCTTGGTAGAAGTTCAGACGGCGGTAACGTGTTTTCTCCGCAGTATGGCTGATACACGTGTTCCATGATTGTCCGTGGACTTGTGGAGAGGTTG